GTGTGAGCGTCAGCTGCCAGCAGCAGTGTGCTGAGAGAACAGAGCAGAGGAGGAGAAATGTCTCCACGCATCCATCAGCTGGCAGCCGGCAGCCTCTGCATGAACACCCAGTAACAAGTACACACTGAACAATGCTGTCGGTGCTGGGTGGGATCTACTCACAGATACCCAGTGTATGACTGTACATTCCCTATGTAGCACATGCATGGAACTCCCTGGAGCCTCGGTCACCACAAATCAGGTCCTTGCCTGTGGCTATAATACATAGCCTTTGGTACCAGAACCAGAATTTTGATCATTTCAATTTCAACTGGATGTAGAAATTGATGCACTGAACTGAGTGTGATAATGGAAGCATATCATTGTCTAGTATGCTAAACTTGAAAAACGATAACGCTTAACGGTAATGGCACACATTTGTTTTACCCTTTTTTCAGATATGATATGATACGATACGACCTGATAATACTTTATTGTCAAGTCTGAGTTTTATGGGGGATCACATCAGCACCAAATCTCCATTTGCGTCATCATCAACATTTCACTGTTAGAGATGGTGTTATTTTCAGTTGTGTTTTTATTAAAGGTAGGGTAGGTAATTTTGAGAAACCGGCTCGAGATCGCTAGAATTTGAAAATACACAGCCGGAAAAAATCTGCCACTTCCTTACAGAGCCCCTCCTCCAACACACACGAACGCGCACAGGACCAATGAGGGCACGAGATAAGTTTGTGCACAGATGGAAGGCTGACAGGCAGATAGGCCATCCAGTTATTTTAGCCGGGCCAGCTCACATGATTGGTCGTGCTTTTTACAGTATTACGGCTTCCACAGATGACATTTTTTTATGTATTTATTGTCGAAGCATTTCAAATATTTATTGCTATCGGGATGTTAAGAGCATTCCATGGAATATAACAAAAAGTGTTTCTGAAATAAATAACATACCCCACCTTTAACTGGCAGTTAGCTTGCCAATTTCTTAACCTAATAATACATAACATGCATATATAAGTTAATGCCTCACCATTTTTATTTAAGTACAGTTCTTGAGTAGATGTAGGCTACTTATGTACTTCCCATTCCAAACATTAAGTTTTGTTATGAAGTTCTCTGGAAGATTAAGTCCTGATTGTGTAAAGCAACATTCAGACAAGCCAGGAAAACAGACTCATCCCAAACATCTTTGAGCCCTTCCATAGGAAATGAGACCTTGTGTCTCAATGAGATTTTAAACCTGTATAAATAAAGGCTAAATAAAAAAAAATAAAAAAATAGCACAAGAAAATCATCATTTTCAGAAAAAAAAATGTTCACCACCTAATATTCACATCTGATGGAATGTAATTATGACAAAAGCCGCAGTTGGAAAAAATATATTGATATGCGGTTAAAAAATAAAGTCCCCTGGTGTGCAAAGGCCTTCAATCAATATTACAATACAAAAACAATAAAGCAACTTCACAATAGCTGACATATAATCTTTATGTGATCATAACAGGCTCAATGTTTCATTAACCCACACCTCTAAGTTAATATCCTCAGTCATCATTGTTCTCCCGACCCCTGTCTCTGACATGCTCATTGTTCGACAGAACTGCTGAGTAAAACTGACTGTGCGCCACAGAGCTGTCACCAAAACCCCCCAAGATCTCAGTGAGAGATGACTGTGTCAGAAACACATCGCTTCCAGCTACGTTCTTTTATTCAACATGTTCCTTAGAAGTGGCTGAATTGATCTTCACCGGGGAGATCATGTTAGTGCACGTCAGATGTAGGGTAGAGTGTGTGCTGTAGGCAGAGGAGCTGCCAGAATCCTTGAGGCAACAGGAGCTAGGTGAGGGAGTCGGATGACTGCATGAAGACACGGTGGCTGAGCTGACGTGGCTCCGCAGACCGCAGTATGAACATCCTGATGACCGCTTTCAAATATCCCACTCAGCGTCTTTCTGTTTTTCTCTTTCATGACCAGACTTATGGCTCGGTCATTTACTGATGATGAGACATCCAAATATTGAAGGAAACAATTTCAAATGTGGAAAATCCCAACCAAAGTTGGGACAGTGTCGTAACCACTGACGGGAAGGCTGATGGAAACTGGCCTCTTCTTTCCATTTACAAAATGAAATGCAAATAAGCAAAATGCTGCATTTGGACAGCTCATGTAGGCATGTGGTCTTTATTGTACCAATAAAGAGTATCAATTTAACTGGTATTTAGAACCACTGCTTGTCAGCAGTTCTTCACAAGCGGTGAAGTTCCATATTGTGTGCTATTTTAATGCTAAAGTACACTAAATAACAAAATAATAATCCACAAATCAGAACATTTGCAAAAAGAGAGAAAAATGATTTAACAATAACTTCCATTATTCCAGATTCTTCCATTCTGAGTTTATTTAGTTCAGAGACAATACTCGACTATTATGCATCTGAAAGTCTAAAAATGACTAAGTGTTAGTCATAATAAGTCCTGAGTGCATTGATCCATCACTGGCGTGTAGTCCATTGAAATATCACAACAGAGCATGATACTCAGTAGTTATAGCAATAAATCAAATTAAACAATTAAAACGAGTGATGGTGTGGTTGCAGAATGTGCCTAGGAGCTTCCTTCAAGAATAAATCAAAGGAAATATGACAACAAATGAGTAAACACAGTTTTTCCATCTATGTCGCTCTGTTCCTTTGCCCGGTGCTCATGATGTAATCAGGTGCTTTTCTCCAAGCTGTCAGTGTGCGTCTGTCCAAAAATAAAGGGCATCTGGCTTTGTTCTACATCACCGCAGCCTCTTGTGTAACGGACAAGTTTCCGCCTTTACCTTCTGCCTCGTGTTCGTCAGTGACAACAGGCAGGGATCTTATCTCTGACCGAGCGGGAGGACCTTTCCCTCAGTAATCTCGGCAGGACAATGGTTCAATATTGAGAAAGCAATAAACACAAGATTGCTTATCTGTCAGCGAGCTTGTTGCGCATGACGGGGATGAATTAGTTATGCGCACAGTTTGTTTTGACATTTCTAACTACGACAGTAAGTGGATGTGATTGATACTACCATAGAAACCGAGTGTGTGTTGGGTTGTGTCATGTGAATACATGCCTGATTAGTGTGAGAAGCAACACTGTCAGTTCATGGCTATCGGCTATGTTCATATTATCTGCCTGCTTCACACTAGAGACACCTTGAAGAAAAAATCAAAAGCAGTTTACAGTATGTTGTTCTTTATACTTCACAATCAGTGTGCACAGGTTGACAAAACCACACAACACAACAACACAACAGTGTTTCATTCAGAAACAAAGGTGAAGAATCATTGGAAGAACTCCCAAGTGACATGCACACGACTACAGCATACTGTATATGTGACATTGCAAAGCAGCATTTGGCAACCGGATCCTGTGGGTGAGCAGAAACTTGCTAATTCACAAAATTGACATCAACACTTTATAAAGTGGTTAAAAAAACCTGTTGCTAAGTTGCATATCCAACAGAGAGGAGGCAACATTAACAATGAAATCGTGTTTGTGTCCTTTTGATCAACGAAGGTCCAAAAGTCAGTCTCCTTTTTTTGCTCTGTTTTTGGTCTCCACCATCTCTTTAGGGAAAAATGTGGCTTTTTAGCTGCTGGTGTTGATATTATTTGTTTCTCAGTAAAAGCGTGATCCTCCGCTGAATCCCTTTATCGGAAATCCAACAGGAACCTCTGAACTCTGTAATTTGTACAGCCTAGTTTTGTGGGCTTTCCTTTAATTGGTGATTATTCTATGTGGGTTTGACACTATGAGCGACACATTTCACGTTACACTTAGTCATTTCAACCACTATTATTAGTGATAAGAGTCAATGAATATTAGGTCCAAGAGATTAAAACATGAACTGCGGTAATATCAGGTGCATAACCTGTCGTTAAGCAGCTCTCGGTGTATTTTTATATAACTTGAGCTTTTAACAACAACAAATACGAGTGCATGTGACCATCAACCTGACAGTTTAGAGATGATAGCAGTGAGAGCACCATGCGCCTGAAAAAGCTGAAATGAGTTGTAGGAGAACATTGTGTTTGTCATAGCCAACGAACATCTAACCAACCTTCTGGTAGAAGATCTCTTCTTTCATCACTTTGTTTACTCTGGGCTTGAATACGTCCAGAAACAGCATTTTTAGAGCATCTTATCTTTCTAATTGTTTGCATTATCAGTAGACGCAGGATGTCGGGGCGAGGCACATCAGATAGTTCAACTGCGTAAACCGATGGGTGTTAATTAACCGAGAGAAGACGGACTTATTTGATGTCGGGGGTATTTTACTCATTCAAAGTCATTTGCACTTCTGATGCAACTTCCTGCTTCCCAGAAAGAAAAATATATATCAATGTGAGATTTTGTGGACATTTTTTGTCTAATTTTAGCAGTTATTGAAAGATCTTTACTTCAAAATGTTTTAAATCGGCTGCAGTTTTCCTCATCTCAGTTTATCAACGTTTCATCCTTCATCATTTGTACACAGGGACCAAAGAGTCTGTGCCCTCATGCTTTGTTTGATTTTTTGTGCAGCACTGGTGATAATGGTGGACACAGTCTGTTCTTGTTTGTTTCTCTCCTGATGATGTCAGAACAACTCTGACTCCTTCACCAAATCACTTCCTGTGATTTTATATGTATTGTAAATTGCATTAATCATATACTTTCTTATTGATGTGGAAATGCACTGACAAGATAGCTTAATTTATTTGTACCTGATGCAATGACAATAAAGACATTCTATTGTCAAAATAGTTGGCGTAAATGTTTCTGTTGATCAACCAATCGTTGCCGTTTTACACCAAATGGTCAGCATGTGCTCAGTAGATTGATAGTTTGCCACATTTGTTTCAGTCTTTAGATAAATGGACTCTTAATGAATAACCAATAATTAGTTATTTTCTTTAAGCCCCCCTTTCATATAATCCTGGGGGTTTTCTAAAACGAAATATTAAAATGATATTTGTTCTGTTTTCCAGGCTGTATGCTGTGTTTTGGCCAGTCGGCCTACTTTCGCTTCAACCACCCGGAAGAAGCCCTCAGGATGAAGAGCATGGTGCCTCAGGGGGGAGGTCTCTCCGCCGGGGACTACAGACTCAGTCCAGGTACTTTAGAATCCTGCAGGCTCCTATTACACCCATTCATTACTTTTACTGTATTTCCAGCCTGTTTTCTCACAGCAGTGCTACATTTACAGTACCATCTTGTCAGGGTTTCTTTCCTCCACAAACAGAGGCCAATTGTGAGTAAAACACACTGACCTTTTGTCACATTAATAATAAAGCCTAGAAATGCCATTTCCGTCTTTGAGTTCCAGTTTCAGCATGTCCTGTGTGAATGAATGGGTCGGATTGTTTAACAGACGGATGGTGAGGTGGAGCAGCAGGGCAGTGTTTTTTACAGGTGGATGTTTGCACAGCAGTAAAACCCTGCATTATTCCTTTTGTATAGCCTAGTAAGGGTGGAGGGGAGTGTAGAAGCACAGGGAAACCTGCTGGGACTAGAACAGTAGATTCATTTGGTGATAAACAACACTGGGCCAATACAAGGCTCTCACAATATTCTGTTAAACTAAATTACTATCGAGTGCTGCAGGAATGAGTCCTGAAACTCGGAAATGAGTCAGCATTTTTTGCAATTTGTATTACCTTGTCTCAAAGAAATTATGTGATCACCACAATCTAGGTGGTAATGGAAAATACGTAAGTTAATACTCCATGCATGGATTTTGGATCTTGGGTCTAAACATCATCACACCAAACACTTGAAAAGAAAAAAGATCGGGAGGGTGGATGTTTAAAAACACATTTCCATTTCATCAAAGGAACAGGTGTGGTTCTGCAGGTGGAAAAGTGGATCATTGTAAGTGTCTTTTCTTATTGTTGTTGTTGTTGTTGTTGACATAGAGCCATTCATTTAAAGCCCAACTCTAGACTTTCACTTATGACGATTTAATGAATGCCTTTTATTTATGAAGAAAATATTGCTAAGTCAACTGTGTAAGTATCATCAACTTTTGTTTGCTGTGGAGTTGGAAAATGGAATGGAAAAATCCCATTGGAAATGTGTCTAGGGAACTTGTGAGACTCTCAGGTTGGTCTAGGAAAAATCAACATCTCTGCAGCACTTTATCCGTTGTCTTTGCAGCCCTATTTTTTGTCTTTCGAGAGATTTTCTGGCTTCAAAGAAAATAAGTCATCGCACAAAGCCATCGAAAATAATCCACTGAGATGTTTTGCGTGTGAAATAGACACTTCTCACCATCTCTAGACCCTCAAATCGTCCTATTTAACATAACCACATTAAAGGGAGGCATGCACTGCCCATTATGCCTGTTTGCAGCTCTGTTACAGCAGCGTTGTTGTCACCATCAGCCTTTGAAATACTGCACCCGTTAAACCCTGCAGCCTGAATGGAGCCCAGCTGGGACCCGGTGCCGGGGTTCACGCCATGCATGTTTTATGAGCATCTCGTTCCTCTGCATCTCCAGGCAAAGTTTTCAGCTGCTTGCATGTGCGTGTGAGAGTGTACTGTATATTCCGAGTGCTACTCCTGGCAGCGGAACAACTGTAAGTGGAACTTTTCTTGGCCAGCTCTAGTACCGGGGATCTGTCATAGCATCTTGTTATTTCCTTCTGTTTACTGTGGACATTATAAGTATAGCGCACAGGCATGCTGGCTGCTGTGGACCTCCTGCTCCAATAATGAAAGCCTTCCGTTGTTTAGAAACGTGTCATTTTCCTCAATTATGCATTCCTGAGTTGCGTTCAGATGAAACTTGCTTATACCACTCCCATGATAATCTGTGCATATACTGTATGTCATATCTATTTGAAAACACTTTGAGATCACACTTGTTATCTGTGTGTATTCTAGTGCCAGAGCAATTATGGAGGGCAAACCCAGCCAAACCCATTTGACCCACTTTGTTTTGAAAGCATAGATTTTTTCCTTTTTTGTTTTTTGCATGCAGTAAAATGATAATATCCATCTATAGGAACGTAAGGGCTGTCTCGATATCCAATAAACACTACATGATTATTGTGGCCTCAATAATTTACAACAACTATATCATCACGTTATCTATGGAAGAATTTAAAAAAGTAAAATACTTCTTTAACTTTGTCAGTTTTTTCCAAATAAATTACCCTCAAAATACTAATGTTTATAGGGGAAGAGAGAGTCTGTAACCACAACTTTACTTTTAAGAGGTTCAGGAGACTCCAGACAAACCTTTTTCACCGTACCTGTCTCTGTGATATCTACTTCATAATGCTGTAAAATATCTCCTTCAAACAACTTGACAAAACGATTCATTAAAATGTCTCCCCCATTAAAACAAATGACAGTATTACTTAGCACAGCTACCATAATGTACCTAAAATAATGGTGTAAATATTAGGGAATAAGAAACTGTACATAACCGTATTTAATGGCTCGTTTTATTTCCCCATTTAAATAGAGTGGTGCACGATTGAGTCTTAAATCCCGGACTTGGCATTTTACCACATCCGGTTCCCTCGTCTCAAATTCAACGTTTTCTGAACATACATGAAGTAGCCTGAAAAAGATTTGTGTACAAAAATAGGTCAACCTGCACCACTGTATTGGGCAATGCCTAGTCTTGGGCAATTGGAGGATGTTGTGATGGTGACAGTGGAGACAGACCAGGTGGTAAGTGCCAGTAACTGATCCCTCACTGGCTTCCCAACACATTAAAAAGTCACTGAGCTGGCCAACTGACTTTAATAACTTATTTTCATTTATTTTTTTAAAGTTAAGTGGTCCAAATATGTACAATAAATGTATACAATCCCAGTATTTTTTTTGTGGTGCTAAACCCAATTTCATAAAATTCAAATGATTTTATTACTCCAAGGTAAATAAAGTTAGCACACACTCAGGTGTTCAGCTTATGTTGACTTACTTCATTTTCTAAATGATTCTGGCTATCTCAAACAAACATACAAACGGTTAGGCCTGTTGGCATTGATCAGAGCGCTACAGTATGTGTGCAACCTTTTCCTTTTCCCTATCAGGGTGTCTTGCAGTGTTTTGTTTTTTTCAGGAATGTGTCCCAACGTATCAAAAGCCTCTTTGCTAGCATTACAAGAAATGATTACACTTATTTTAAATGTACAATTTTCTTAATAAACCTTAGTTAAAAAAGCATACTGCACATCGTTAATTCCAATCAGTTTTTATTGATGAGTTGAACCTCACTAATGATTTTTTAAGTCACTTATATCATTTTGGGTGAAATAAACATGCACATCTGCTGCTGCCATATATTATGTGCCTGTTATGCTACATTTGTGAATGTACCATGACAGGCACATAATGTATTACAACAAATGTCCTTGTGTTGTGAGCTACTGTGTCTTTATGAAGCTGGTCACATTCACCTGGCCATTGTTCCGTTTTGGCTATCTTCACTGGGTCAGTGACGGTCCACTGCCCAGCTGTCTTTAGCCAGGCGTCTTTCAGCGAACACCTCTTCACTGATTGGACGTTTCCTGTGCCTCTGCCTGGCCAGCAGACGGCTTTGTGGCTCTGAGCTGCTTACTCAAAGTGGCTGACGGATGGGGTTACAGTATCTTTTTCAGGGACTATTTATAAACCTCTAGTTCCATTCTACTGTCTGCCATCTTTGCACCCTCCCTTCCTCAATGGGTTTCACCTCCAGGTCTTAAAATGTCTATTTTTTTAATTATGCAATGAAATAAAGGACCATAAATCAAATACGACTAGGCAAGCGGAGAAAATGTTATTCAGATTTAAAGCAGTCAGCACTTCGTTCGTGCCCTTTCATTTACATTTCCAAACCAGTTTAAAACCCACATTTCCATCTCTAAGGGAAAAAACATTTTTTCCGTTAATACTTTATTTGGGTGCATCAATGAGGTCTTAATTCAGAATTTTGTATGGAAAAGTTCAGTCAGAAAGCATAACATAGATACACTATTTGTATGTTACACATACTTAAAAATATAGCTGATTCTGATAAAGTATAGATAAGCAAATGTCTAATTTGAATTAAATCTGTTTAGGCTGTGTTATATTCCCAATACACAGTCACATTTAAATAGAGCTGTATTTTGAACAAATCTAAGTACATTTGGTCAGATCTAAAAAGGCATATTTACTTATCTATTGAAAAATGTCAAAAATGTGTACTATACTGTATTTAAACGTTTCCATTTCATGCTATGTTATACTTAAAGTAAACACAACAATTCAGAGGGAACTATTATCATTTATGTTACTCCATTTTTATGACCAATACTATGGACCAATGTAGTTACTTTGCAGATGAACATTTTACATACGTAAAAAGTACATATAAGACATCAATGGTTTTGTAAAATATGATGCTTTGATATAAATTCAGCTGCAAAGTGTATAACATTGTATAATACAGTTTCAAAATTAGCTCTTCCCTAACCAACTTCAACATTGAAGTGCTGCTTACATGCATACTTATTCAATTGTATCTTTTAATATGTGTGGGTAAACATGCACATAGAACATTTTTATGCTTTATGATTACTTTAACTTGACTTTTTTTTAACTTTAGAAGTACATTTAACAATCAATACTTTAATATAATGTCATTTTCATTGGAGGACTTTACTGGTAATGAAATATTTCTATATTATCCTATATGATAATAATATCCTCCGGCACTATTATTACAAAAAATGCAGTGTTTGAATGCTGCCAAAGCTTGTATTTTTGTAAACAAATGCGAAGAAATATGTCCAGCTTTTTAGACCTTGATAGTTGTCCCTGTTCAGGCTACTGTGTTGCTCTGGTTAATCAGACCTAAATACAAAAAGCTATCCTGCCATTGCCCCTGGATGACAACACTGTATTTTGAAAATGGAAGCCTACAATAATTCAATTCATCTAGGAAATTTAGTTTTTCATGTCAGCAAAATATGAGCCAAGTGCCACAGTGTGCTAATGGGTAATTTGTGGATGCCTTTACTTCTCCCCTGTGTCTAAAACTGACAGAATCTGCATTATAGAGACAATAACAATGACAAGCCATAACATCCACTGCTGTGACTCTTTAAAAACAGCTCTGTAAATCTCGCAGCAGTTCACATCACACTGGAGAAGAAGAGATAGGTCAAGGTAGCCATGGCAAAGGAAGTAGGGCGCCTTTTCTTTCAAATTAAAGTACATTTCCGATTTGGGGGGAACGGTATGTTTTAAGACTTCTAGGTGGCTCGGTCTCATTTGTGTGTGTCTTCACTGTAAAGTACAAAAGGCAGTAGGCTATATTATTACCTTTCAGAACATTAGGAACAATTTTTGTATTTGTTGACTCTACTAGGCATTATTGTAGATTGTGTCTATCACATTATGTCTGTCCCATTGAGAGGTATATTATAGTAAGTAGCCTATGCATTGTATCATATGCTCGTCTTCCCGATGGCGAGCATATGTAAGGAGAATATATATTTTCCTAGCGGACTTATTAAGTGAGTCGTGCTTTTATTTTGAAGGTCTTGACCGGAAAACGTCATGTTACATTTCAGGCAACTTGACCATCGTGATACCGTAAGCAGCAGCGGTGCCTAGCACCCCTACCCCCGCCCGGTTGAAAGACCGCCTCGGTGGTGAATCTTATATCTCCCTCGCTGTGTGTGGAGCTAGACACGGCAGGGCTCCGTCACACCCGGTCTGTCCCCGGTGTCCGGAGGATGTGAGCCTCAGTGTGTGTCATATAGCAGGTGAACTGCCCTGAAACTGACCGGGTTGTATTCCTTCATGTGAGTAACGTTAACCCTACTGCTTATTGCTGAGCTCTGGGTGTGAGAACTGATAGGAACCGGTGTCACGCGAAACTTCATTAAAAAATCTGTTGGTTTTATGTTCACTTGCTTTTCTGGAAATGTGAACACAGTGTGGGACACAATTACATTCTTACTTCGATTTATTGGAATGTCATCCTTCATTCGGCATAATGATGATCGATAAATATGTCCATTTATTTGTAAAAATTATTGCATTTGTGTGTCACAATATCCTAATGTGTTCTGGTCGTCTATGGTTAGGGTTATTTAAGGGATGTCAGATGAATCAAGCGTATATTTAAGTAAATACATCTTGTTGGCGATACAATCAATGCCGAATTGTAGGGGTCCTCACATGTAAGAAAATGTGTTAAGTCATGATACATCCCACATGCAGCATTACCGGCAGTCAAGCGAACATTAAATTGCCATATTTTTAAATGAGGTTTGGTGCACTCGAGCCGATCGTCTGTACCCCATGACATCATTGCATGGGCTTTCCCTCAGCAAACGGTTGCTCGTCAACCCACCCCCGTCGTTCTTGACTGTACATACATTCAAGACGGTTTGTTGTCCGTGAGACACGATGTGACATTGACATTCATGCATTGGTGAACGGATACAATGAATTACTGTGACAGCCTGCAGACCTCGATGCTGTAACATTTGCGTGACACAATCTTCAGATTGAATTGTCTTCATGTTGTCATGAAGGCAGAGCTTCGTTGTATTGCATTGTAGGGGAGCAGGCAGGAAGCTGCCCCCATCTCTGTTGAACAAGCACAGCTAATGCATTATTTGTGAAGTTTCTATATTTTAGAGCAGTTTTGCCATTGGGACGTCTCTCTCTGACATCATCATTTACTATAATACAAAATAGAATGTATTCTGTTCTCTTTTATGTTTGTGTAATCGTTTGCACTATCCCACAGTCATTTTGTATGATTTTTAATATCATAACAATGCTATTGGACATGACAGCTTTTTCTGTGGCCTTTTATTACCTCTCGGTGTTTGCACGGATGACTCTGCAACATTTATATTCTTGTTTCTATTTAAACAGTCAAGAAGTCTATTCAAACAGCTTTCATTTTGCATTAATACAACCTGATCCCTGCCTCAAGGCCATGCTGTTGAATCTCCCACGTGGCCGTGCGTTTCTGTTGTCATAATCTACTATAGTGACTTCAAACAGACAGTTAAGATTAGATTACCCACCCCGTGTCCTATGTTGCTTTCGAGCCACACAGTAATTGGGTTATGTAGGCACATTTTCTCCTGATCCCTATCCAACGTACAGGCCTATCTCCTCCTCTGTGTCCTTCCTTCTTTCCTCACCACTAATTCTTCCTCTGCCCTTATGCTCTCCTTTCTGACATATTTCTATGTTGACATTTTATAAACTGTAAGACAAGAGTTTTTCTGAATTCTTCAGTATGAGTATATTTATACTTCCAATTCAGACTCTGTTGCACAATAGATTAAACATAACTGTATTCTAGTTTCTATGTTTATTACATTTTTGACAAAGACTAATGAAAGTTGTTTTTTGTCTTTTTAACCTCAGGCACAGAGAGCTTTGTCAATGGGAATCACCAGGCCAGTCCAGTCCAGTCTCCCCAAACTCATGGAGAAAGAGTCCAGTCTGAGCACAGTGCAATCGTAAGCTCTATTGAGAAAGACCTCCAGGACATCATGGACTCTCTAGTCATGGATGATCCACAGCCTTCTTCCTCGGATGGCCAAAAGCCTTCTGGAGGCCAACCCATTCCCCATTCCCCCCTGTCCCCAATGCTCAATGGAGGTGGCAGGTATCTATTGTCCCCTCCTACCAGCCCAGGGGCTATGTCCGTTGGATCCAGCTATGAGAATACATCCCCTCCCTTCTCCCCCCTCTCCTCCCCATCTGCAGCCAGCAGTGGGAGCTTTACTAGCCCATCTCCTATTGGAGGACCCCAGGACCAGAGTTATTCTCTTCCGCCAGTGCCTGTACGCTCCTCAAGCTACAACTTCTCCACCAATCCCATCGCCGGCTGGGGTGCGCCTGTCCCCCAGCCTCGGACTATACTGCCTAACTTCAGCAGCGGTGGGGTGGGCCAGAAGGTTCAGGAAAGCCCCAGGCTGCAGAGGAAGGTCTTATCAGAGGCCCCTCCAAGCCCTAAGCCAAGCCGCAGAGGACTTGGCCCTGATGGGTCTGAGAGCCCCCGACAGATTATGTTCTCCTCTTGTGAATCTCTCAGTAGTAGACACATAGTGCCAAGCAGCCCAAGACTCACTACCAAATTCTCTAACTGTCCATCGCAGTCTCCTTCCAGTCCCAGGACCAAGTCAACCACAGTGCTCCAGGAAAGACCTGCCAGTCCTTTCAGAGAACAGACCAGTCTAGCTGATTTCCCCCTGACCCCCAGCTCCTCCAGGCAGCTTTCCCAACCCAACAGAGCCTTCCAGCCTCCTCTGGACCCCATCGTCCACATCATCCAAGGATCGCCGCTCCAGCAGCATCCGCGTTCACTGCAGCCCCCTGAAAGCCCTCGCATGGCCAGGAGGAACATGGAGCTGAACGGTGGCGGTGGAGGGAGCTGCAGTATGAGGGAGCTGCCTCCTCTTAGCCCCTCCATGGCTCGACGAGGGGTCCCAGTACTACCAGGGGCTCTCCCAGGGACGATACCAACCTTAAGAACTCCAGAAAGCCCCTCAAGTCTGGGCAAGCTCATCCCGGAGAGTCCCAGGCTCCGACGCAGGACCGGATCTACGTCCGAGGAGCCAACTGGCAGCAGCAGGGGGGTCCGAGCCCGCAGTCCGTCGCCTACCTCCATGATGATGGAGGGCGGTGGGGGTTCGGGAGGACGGAAGGCGAGCTTTGGGAATTCCCTGTCACCTGCTTACAGTTTGGGCTCCCTACCAGGATCTTCCCCTGTTTCCAGCCCCAGGACCCATAGGAAGATGTCCTCAGGGAGACCCCACCCTGGAATGAGGGAGAGGAAGAACAGCATCACAGAGATCAGCGACAACGAGGACGAGCTGCTGGAGTACCACCGTCGACAGAGGGAGGAGAGGCTACGAGAGCAGGAGATGGAGAAACTGGTGAGTCAGGAACACATGTCACCAGGACAAGACTGTTATTTAGTTTGTACCAACTTTTACAGTTTTACAGTAGAGTTGTTTTGTACCTGATATCAGAGTTCCCGTTAGCCGGTAATTACCGGACTATGACCGGCAAAATATGCTGAAGACCGGCAAATCTAAATCTCTCCGGTCAAAATGTCCGGTCAAAATAATTTCCCCTTAGCGCAATACCGCATCAGTTGCGCCACTTATGTGACAGACAAGAATAGTATGTGACAGACAAAAGAGTCAATTCTAATGTCTAACACGTGGAGAAAGAGATGTCCTGCATGGGTTGATTGTGCGTTGATCTGTTGGTAATGCCTCGGGGTTCCGGTGGGCATGTAAACAAATGCATAATGCTGCGCTATACTTTGTGGCCTCACCCGGTTGCATAGCGACGTTTGTTTAATATCGAATAATATCAATTTGTTTTAAAGCTCAATAAATAACAAAGAAGACCTTTGACCGGCACTTTTCTAATTTTGTCCGGAAGATTTAAACTTTAACGGACATGTTGACCGGCAAAAAAATATTCTAACGGGAACTCTGCCTGATATATAATCCTAATCCTATCAAGGGTTTACCACTTTAGAAAGATACTGCGATGATGATATTATCGCTTCACTAAAAATAGCAAGGGTTCATCCCAGACTACAGTTACCAAATCAGTTTTGGGAATGGGACTGAAACATTTTTTTTATCTTTGAGTCTTTTTTTTCTTCTTCTGACTTGATTTCGAGGAAGATGCTGTAATCATTTTCATGTTGTCATTTTTTTTTTATGCTTCCAAAAGTGGAAGACTTTTTCTGTTACAGTAATCTGTAACCTGTTTCAGCTGAATATCATGTAAATACCTTGTATAACCAAGGTGTTTTGTGTGTTGCCTAATCGTAAACATATTCAAACTCTTTCATCATTCGAGATTACTGCTCGGAAGTTCCGGCAGGAATGAGAGGATTTTTTTGAATGTATTTATTTTTGCAATATCTTGTTGTGTTTTGAGGAGAACTGAATATATTGATATTGATGAGCCTTGGAGTCTACAAGTCTATTCTTTTCTTGTTGAAATTAGTTTATAGCACAACATTGATTAGTCGCCAAAGTAAGCTTAGACTTTTATATTTAGTTTGACAAAGAAAATAATTCCAGTGAGTGTACTAAGGGTCTTCAGGCATTTTAGAAACTTGCCTCAAGCACATAGTAACCCATACAAAAATGTATGATTACCACAAGAGTTTGCAATGAAACTGTTGAACATATTCTTAGTCTTTCTTGAACTAGTGTTGACTTCTAGAGAAGCAGAGTTGGATGATTGCAGTAGCTCCATGTTTGTTTGGGAAAGGAGTAAACCCTCTCTGTGAGTTGTCAGTAACTCGACTGTTGGCCGTCTGATCTGCTGCTGAAATGCGGTCTCAGGGCGCCCAGATGAGCCCATAGCAACCGCATTGTTTGTTGTTTCCTAAACTGAACGAAAGCGGGGGAGGGAGCGGCGTTAGACATCTTGAACATGTCCGCCAGTCTGAATGAAACTACTGAGACAAAGTCCTTTTTAACAAGCCTCTCTATGTGTTTGTTGCTGCGTGAGACGTCGTTTGTCTGCCCGGCTTGTAATTACAAAATTAGTTTTTCAGAGTGAGGCTGACTGAAGGCTGCTCTGTTGGACAGGCTGAGACGACATGCCCTCTGTCTGTGTACCAGGTCATGTTCTGGTACCTCCTATAGAGGCCCGGCAGTTAAACAGTGTGTCGGCAGCGCCAGATCTACACAATGAGAGAGTGTTTAACCCTTAAGGGTGAGGCGGGCCATGCTAAATGAGAGAGAACCGCTCAAGTTACTGGTGTTAGGAAATTGTGTAGGTCAAAATGGATAGGCTTTTTTTGTTTTCAGGCTGAAAAATAATTGGAATTCATACAAAATCACAATATAGTAGACAATATATAGATCAAAGGAGGCGCAATGTTTATTTAAGGCAAAATGTGTCCAAATATCATTCTGAATTAAGTATTGTGGTGCTGCAGAGATGTCCTGACTCCTGACCCACAAGTCATATTATACACTTCTAGTAGTAGATATACTAAAATATCAAGTGTAGACATTATTCAATAAAAAAAAAAAAGCAAATACATAACCTTTGAGTTACAGGAGCTAGCAAACCAGCAGCTAGCATGTAATATTTAGGGCTGTCAACGCTAACACATTAGCACTGGTGGTTAGTCTGGAAAACGTAACGCGTTAGTAAAGATTCACAGAAATTCATAATTCAGAAATCATCAAAACTAAGCTGAGATGTTATAATGAATCAAAACAAAGTCAGACTTAACACCAGTTTGTCACACGTTTTCTAATCACTACACCACACGTTATTAATGTGATCAAAAGGATTACATATTTAAATCGATTGACACCACTATAAATATCATGACTTCGGTTCTCTTTATTCAAAAGCAATCAGTAGAACCGGATTTTATTTCGATATATCTTTTCACGCATAGACAAATTGAATTGCCCAATATTATTTTGGTATTCAGGTGCAACTTTCAGCTTACCTAAAAGACATTTCATTAGGATGGGTTCAATACAAACTTGGCATTTATGAGCTTTTTTCCCTCTTACACCAACAACACCTGTAGGGGAACATTTCTCTGCATGATATACTGCACACCTCAGCCTTCATACTCCAGAGTCATACATTAAATATTTTGTTGAAAGTATGTTAGCCACAACCACCTTTGGACTAGTACAACTTGCAGGCACACAAAGGAACATATTGACATTAGATATGTGCAGACAGCTCATGGTGCATGAGGTCAGGAACACTTGTCAACTAAATAAGGCATATAGGGACATGCATCATTAACTCTGGGTATGCTGGCGAAAATGTCAGAACTGGGTAGCTGCAACGTGAACAAAATACAGATGATACGTTAGCTCAAACATGGAACAAAAACAATGTGATACTTTGGAAAAACACACCAGGTAACTTACCTCAAGAAAAACGTATCCAGGGTGTTTCAACACAGTTATGGGAAGACATGACAATTATACGTATGGTGAAACTACGTTGAATGTTCTTGTCACCAAGTAGTTTGTTTATAGCATAGCGTTAGCTTTTTACTTCTGCCCATTGCATTTACGCTTCAAAAACACAACGTGCTATTAATATGTGGAGATTATCCTGCTGACCAACATATGTTAATTATCATAAACGTTTGTTGGGCACAAAGTTTATTTTCTGAAGTATACTGTATTGCAATGAGAATATCCTATTGCTTTTTGTTGAGGGGCCCCTTGTGATGTTCATTTCTGGGTTGGCCTATAAAGATCAAGATCACTGCACCACTCTATTTGTCTTTTTTGTTTATTTAAAAAAATGTGTCCCCACCACTTTTCAAAACAAAGTGACACCCATGCACACAGGGACAAGGTGCCTTAGATACAGAGGCAGGATTCCTCCACAGCCTGTGATGTTATTGTACTTTCCAACGCAGCTCTTTGAGGAGGCAGGGTGTGGAGCTGCAGGGCCTGTAATTAGTCACAGTTGACTCACTGTCATGACAGATTTTTCTTGCCCTAAAGCGTCTGTTTTTAAATCATTTCGCTCACAGCCTGCTACTCATTCACACAACTGATTACCAAAAAAAAAAGTTGTGTGAACAGGGAGCCTCGGAGAAGTTTATTCGGGAGAAAAGAGTGTTATTGTGAAATCAACAGGAGTACACAGCTCAGAGGCAGCGGGAGGCTGCTGCCAGACTACAGCAGCACACTACACCCACTACAAAAAGCTTGGCTGTTAAAATGTAGATTAATTACATTGTACAATTGATTAATACCCCCATCTGTTAGGGAGCGCTGAAATATTTATAGTGAGTCAACTAGGCATCCCGACCTAATTAGTGGAAATATTTGGGAGAACCTGAGGACTTTTTATGAAATATGTTTTAAGATATTCAATATTTGCAATTTATAGCAGAAAGATAGCTCTATGGTTTCATTCATGATATCAACCCCACTTTGTTGATAGCTGACAATGTCTTCAGGGTTATCATGAGTTATGAGACTTCAAATATTTGCTTGAAAACCTGTGTTATAAACTTGGGCCATGAAGTTGGCATTAAATTGTATTTAAGTAATTGAGCACTCTTGTTGCCTCGACAACCAGCATGCAAGAGTCCACTAAATGACTCCCCTGTGAATAGCACAGTCTGGAATACTTTACAAAGAATAGTGCTACAACTGCCAATTTTGTTTATCAAATAATGTGCCAATAAATTGTTTATAAAATGTCAGAAATTAATGGAAAACATATCCATTCCAGTTTCTTAATTAAAGTAAAGGTGATTTGTTAAAAGGCTGGTTTTGTCCGTCTTAAACTCAAAGATATCCACTTTAATAGGATATGAAACAGAACAAACCCATTATATTTCCATATTTGACAGGGAAAGATCTTTGGCTGCCACTGGACCTAGTTTCAAAATGTGCCCTCACCTTATTGTTATCATTATTATCAAGCCAAGTGTTAAAATAGGCCCTATTTTATGTTTTGGGGTTTTCTCTTTCCTGTAGTGTGTTATATAGGATTTTGTGCATGTTAATGATCGACAAAGGCTAAAATCCCAAAGATCACTCCAGAGGGAGTTTCTCACCAACCCACTTTGCGCTCCTATACATTGTACGTGATAGGGTAAGGGTTCGTACATCTCTAAGTGGTTGACCAATCACAACAGAGCCGGCCAGCTAACCAATCAGAGCAGACTGGGCTCTGGTTTCAGACAGAGGGTGAAAAGAGGTGCTGCAGCACAGGCAGTATGAGGAAAATAAATAGCTTTTTGAACATTAAAGCATGAAAACGTGTAGCATTAGAGGCACTAAATACAAATATGAACCTGAAAATAAGTAGATAAGGGCCCCTTTAAGTTTTCCATGGTGTTTCAGAGGAGACTTTTCAACACTGACAAGAAAAAAAGTTACAATAATAA